TTTGGTGTGTGGGTTTTTGCGCCTCTGAGTTGGTACAGTCGCCCTAGGCAGGAACTTGGCAAGGTTCTTCTAACACTGTGGGTGTGATAGTCTGTAGTTGGCGTTAGGTTTACACCTAAGACTGTGGTGCTGTGAGTTTTGGGGATGGGTGTTGTGTCGGTAGTGGTTCTGGAGGGTTAGAAGGTAGGGGCGGCCGTTTCCGTTGCGGGAAGAAGTAGGTGATTTAGGATTTTGGCGGCATTTGTTTAGGAAACCTACAGGGGAACACCATAGGAATTATACCAGTCAGTCACATGTGCAACAAAGTCATCATGCTGATCTGTGGGAACATTAAAACGTTTCCGTTTGAATATCCCACCAGGAAGGATAGTATTACCAATATCTAGAGAGGTTAGCAGGGCCTGGGGATTTGTTAGGTTTTAATTTATCTATTTGCCTAAGGACCATGTCACTTGTGACCCTAATAGTGCACAGTTTATTATCGTCCTGTTCTACATAATTTATCATTACTGGAATATCGCTGGTATCCTTCTGTGTAAAAACTGAGAGGAAGTATGTGTTAAAAATTCTACACATTTCCTTATCACTGTCAGTGAGCTGACCCGAGGAACTTTTGAGTGGGCCTATCTTGTCCCTGATCTTACTTCTGTATACCTCATGGCACGGATGCCATGTTGCAAGAGATGGGAAGCTTCCTCGGGAGTGGAGCAGCGAATTTTGAGTGTTAGTTTGGTGGTCTGTATATGTCTTCAACAGTTACGTCATTGTTGTTGGCAATGTCCTGTATTAAGTCAGTCCTGTCTTGTTGGTATGCAGTCAGTATAGCGAGTTCAACATGTTTTGCAACAACTGTGCTCCTGGCACGGTGCTCAGGGGTCCAGTTGATGGTAAAACCTGCATCTGAGAGTTTAGATCTGATAGGTTTTGAGCAGAAAGTTTTGTAGGAAGAAGGATCAAGACGAACCTTGAAGCCAGAGTTAGTAGGTAGTACACTGAGTAAAGGGCATTGGGAGATGTGGAGAATGCTGGGGCAGTCAATGGTGGCTTTATCAGGTTTGGAATAGCTTAAGAGAAGGGAACAGTTCGCATTTTGGTGGGAGGCAGACATAGTCGGTAACAGGGCGACAACAGAAAATGCTATCTAGAATAAGGCTAGTGGCAGCGTCAAAAAACATAATAAATGGCCTGTCTACGATGAAACTCAGCAGGGCAAGTACATGTGTAGGTGACACACGTACTTGCCAGGCAATTACCTTAGTTTTCTGCAGAGACTGTCAATGGAGGCGTCAACAAAGCACTGAAATGTAGAGGAGAACTGTCGCTGATGGAGCACTGTGAATGCCCTGAGCGGCGAGGTGAGGCGGCCCAATATGAGTGTCGATCACGTGAACACGCTCAGCTCAGGTGTGGTTGCTTCAATCAGCCAATAGGAGTGCAGAGGGAGACTCCCAACCTCTTGGAAGGTTGCCAGCGACGCACAATCCTTGTTGGTGAGATTTAAGACGTTGGTACAGCAATCTTGAGTTCAACAGCAGGAGTGCTGAGGGAGACAGCCTGCCCTAAGGAAGGCAGCCAACGACGCACAATATCCTGATGTTGAAGGCGAAGATGAAGGTCCAGGTACCACACAATTGTAAACAGCCTCTCCCAAAACACGGGGATCGCAAGGCACTGAGGTGTAGAGAGCAGCTGTGTCTGCACAGGGCGAGAGCTACAGCGCTAAATGTCTGACTGAGAGTAAGGTCGGATCGGATCGGACTCACAGGTAAGTACCCACGAAGGGCGAGGGGCAAGTGGGGACAGTGCGAAGAATAGACGGGGAGAGGAATGTCTTGAGTCGAAGAGAGAAGAGTCAGGACTAAACCCAACTGCTAAGCCTGGATAACAATGACGAAAGACGATGTAGAGACAACAGGAACTCTGTAGGAGCTGACTGCAACTTGCTGGATGGAAGATTGCTGCTTCTTGATGGTGATTGGTGGCTGCAGGCGACAAGGGAGGAGCTCAACGTTGATTGGTCTTTTCATAATGGCTTGGTGGTTATTTGGAATTGTGGCGTTTTTTTACGAAGTAATTGTCCGTGTTGAGTGATGTTCCATTTTCAAGACGTTTAAATCGTTGGAGAGGAATTATCATGAGACGAGTTAACAAGTGTCGATATTTATATTGAGGGTGTTTGATGAATTTGTCAAGATGCTTTATAATTTGTGATAGTTCAGTTGTACGAGCAGTGTCGGCATGGTCAACAAACTTGACTGTTTTTTTGATGAGGTGAGATTGGAGTTCAGCTGGCTCCATGTCTTGAGGATAATTTGCTGTGGTACAGAAGGATATTCCGCCCCAATTAATATACTTGTCGGTATCTTCTTCTGGTACAGTATCGAATCTTTGGTCTTGGGATGGTAGTGTTGGTGCTGGTGAATGTACATTTTCCACTTCAACTTCTTCTTCTTCTTCTTCTTCTTCTTCATCTTCTATGGACGAATGAGAGGATGTTTCTGGTGGAAAGGCTTCTGATTGGTCGGTTTCGTTGAGGAGTGGAGGCGATGGAGGCTTGTCATTGGACGTTATTGGAGTGACGTCACTAGTTGCTGATGGTGTTGGAGCTGCAGGCGTAGAGGTGTTGATTAAGTCCTTGGTGAATTTTAGTATTTCTTCCGAAGGTGGAGATGCTGGGAATATGAATGATGGCATATTATTTAGTGCAAATAACTCGTTGATGGTCGAGTTAAAAGATCCAGGTACAGCCATATTTTGCATGTGAGCGTATATGAGACAGTAGTGGATCTTGGTTACGTCACAAGCTGGAGGAGTGATGATGGTGGAGGCTGGCTGAGTAGTAGCTTGAAGTAATTTCGTAGTATTAGCTTGGATCTTTGCAATTGCTGCATACGTTGGTGTGTTGCTAGTAGGTTTTTTCTTTGCTGCTTCTTGTGTTTTCTTCACAATATCCTTACGTGTAGGACATTTTGCTGCCAGTGTATGGTGGTCGTTGCTCTTACAGTTTAAACACGATGGTTGTGGTGGAGTAGCAATGGTGCAGGAACTGAAGGTGTGTCCCCTCACTACCACATGTAGTGCAGAACTTCTTGTCTTTTACTGGGCATGCTTTGGTGGTGTGATGGTAAGAATAACAGTTCCAGCAGTGTTTTGGGTGTACTGATATCTCTCTGCTTCGATGTAAGTTGGACTGATGAAGTAGTAGTAAACAGCAAGACCTTCAGTCAGAGCAGTGGCAGCCATGTTTACGTCAGTGAAGGTGACCTTGAGCATGGACGATGCATTCGGGATTTTTGTGATGCTGTCAACAGTAGCCCAAGTATTTTGCGTCTCGATGGATGTCTTGAGTTCTGCAGGTGATTGAGACGTCAGAATCTTGTCTAGTTTTTTAAGGGAAAACTGATTTCCTGGCCTTGAGGGCAGGAGATGACATAACAGTAAACCCTTGAGCAGTTAGTGTAGTGGTGGCATCTGTAGTGAGTAGCTTCTCTGCTTCAGCATCATCGTGACACACAACAATGAATGCTTCTTTCAGAGATAAAATGGTGTTGAATTTAACTTTCAGTGTTCCTTGAACAACAGTTGCAAGAGCAATCTTCGTTGAATCATCAACGGTACCACTTGTTGGCTTGATCTTGACACGATTTGCGTAGCTCATCGTGCAAGTCAAGGTGAAGACAACGCTGGTAAAGGTTCCCCTCCCCAACGGGGATCGTAGGGAGACAGAGTAAGTAAGGAGAGCTGCTATGACCTGCCAGGGCAAGAGTCAAGAGCAGAATTTTTGCTCGTTTGAGTAAGGTGTATGTGGGTATATGAAGGTGTAGATGAGTGGCATACGTGTATGTAGCATGCAAGTGGGCACAGAAAGCAAAGGTGATATCAAGTAATTACGTAGTACCGAATGGAGAATTCTGTTTGATGTGTCAGGGTCGTCATGACCTTCATGTATTAAGTGTGAATGGTGTCAAGATTATAGTTTTAAGACCGTGAAGAGCTTTAGGGCTTATGTAGAGTGTGCGTTTATAGCCTTTATTGGGCATATTTCATGTGCGATAATTGTATCGCAATGAGAGGTTATTTAAATTATGTTTGTGTTTAGTGTTGTGGGTTTTTAGCGAGTGTACTGTCTTTATTTTGCCATTATGTAATGTGCTCGTCCAGTTGCTGCGAGATGGAACGCTAATGACTTCCATAAATTTGTAATGCCTCGTTAAAAGTTTGTAATGGGACAGTATGGTTTAGTCTCAGATTTTATATAATGTGCTCAGGCATTGGAAGAAGCTGTAGTAATATTTAGTAATATTTAGTAATATTTGAATTTTTTTTTTTCAATGCTTAAAGAGATTGTAGTGAGGCACGTATGTATGTGCTGAGGTACTTCTTATTGTTTAGGGGTTAATTTTGGGAAGAGCATGTAATTGTTTTTAACTGAGATTGTGATGTAGGTTATTACTCTGATTATCTCCTGTGAAGGTTGTGAACCTTTGTCATATGTCAGTCATAGTATGTTAACTATACAAATCTGAAAGTTGTATATAGTTTATATTTATAGTTTATATAGTTATAGTTTATATTGTTTATCATAGTATGTTATATGGAAAATTTATATAAGGAACCGAAATGCACTTAATATTAAGTTGTATGTCAGGTTAGGATTTAATTTAATTATTACTTGCCAGCAATGAAATGCTCCAGTAATTAGGAAATTATTATTATAATGAAAAAGAAGCGTTAAACCACAAGGGTTGTACAGAAGTAATTAGGAAAGGGGTTAGAATAAAATAAGGCAAGAAACCTGAATAAACTTAGTGTAACGTTAGCTTCTACTTAGAATTTAATTAGTTTAGGTCTTAAATCAAACCGATTCCTATAAATAGGGGAGATTTTGGGAATCGTACAAGGCAGACAAAATAAACTAATAGATGTTAGGTTTATGTCACTTATAGGAGGGGGCGGTGGGCCGGGCGCGTGGCGTAGGCATTGAGAGGCGGAGTTTTGTAGGGTGGGGTGCAGCTTCTCGTACTGACGGAAGACAACTTTTTTTACGCTCTTCAGAGTTGATGGGAGTGCTGAACTTGCCGGTACTGTACAGCATTTAGGGTAAGATGCATTTGGGTTTAAATCCAAGGAAAAGGGAGGATATTTAATTTTCTTGTATAAAGAGCCTCACACCAGCATATGCAAAAAATCCCTAAATTCATCTTAATATGTTTGGGAAAATGCCTTGATGCTGGTCAAGGGCTCTAGATCCAAGAATTGACAACGTGGCATAAGTCATTTGTATAAATACAGGAAGTTGCAATTATCCAAGTTTGTTATTAATAGCGACCCAAATTTTCATTTTCTTGAATCCACTTAAGTACCTCTCATTCCTAGTTGCAGTACTATACCATAATAAGTCGAGCGCTCCTCCATAATTAATAACGGTAAACATTGCAATAATAATAATTACGGGCAGATTTGTTGAATTAAAAATGTTTTTGTTCACAGGCAGTAGTGAAGGCAGCAACATGACGTACTAAGGGAGGTCAGTTCTGTCATCACTTCGCTCACAGTTCTGGTAAGTCCTTCTCCTACATTAATATAAAGGGTTTGAGAATAACCACCGTTTTGTAATTTGTATATTGAGTTATGAGGAAGAGGATTTTTTATTGAGCACCGTTAACTTTACCGGACGGGGGGTGCAAAACCTGTATGGATCATGTACCTGGGGGATGGAAGTTATTTGTATTTGATACAAGGTAAGGACATGTCAGTTCTGTGATCGTGAGCCTCTCAGGCATTTAGGAAACTGCCTTGTGGGGGTCTCCCTGGAACACATTTTATCACTTTGCCCATGGCATACCCCTCAAAGGAGCTCGCTGGTGAGCTCTTGATCTAGGAATTAGCGCTGTGCTCCATTTTCCCCGAATTGAGCCTGAATGCCTTCCATCCCCCCACAGGGGCTATAAATCCTACGGTTTAGCGCTTTCCCGATTTAAAGCCCATGGCATAGGCCTTTCTACATTTATCATTTTTTTATATAATTACCGAATTGTAGCAAATTGAATTTTTAAGTGTCTTGACATTCTTCATTTAAAAATATTTTTAACTTTTCTTTTATTCATGTTAATATTTTTACGAATTTTAGTGCTTTGTACATATTTTTTTTAGTGTGCTGGGAATGAGCTACATGGTCAAGTGCTTTTTCCCACATGTAAACTACCTACGTAACTTTGTTTCATATTGACTGGCTCCACCTCATAGAAATTTAAAAAACTTGCACGTATATTAACTTGTAAAACACTTCCCCCTAAGGAAGGTTCCTTGATGTTGGTGAGGGGCTCTTTATTTAGGGAATTGATCTGTGCTCCAGTTCTCCGAATTAAGCCTGAATGCCTTCCACATCCCCCCCAGGCGCTGTATAATCCTCCGGGTTTAGCGCTTCCCCCTTAATAATAATAATTGTAAAACACTGGTATGTTTTGCGGGGACGTTTTACTGATTTTTAATCCAATATAGTGAATAATGCTGGAGACTGGAAAACCATGAAGTAGGTTGATGTGATTATTCCCTCTGTCTTAAAAATGTTAAATTCATCAGTCGTGATTCATAGACTAGCGCTATATGACCCATGTAGGTTTAGCGCTTTTTATTATAATGTAGACTTATAAGACTATAACCACTTTCAAGGCTGAGTTATCACCGCAAACTACGTCCTGCCTTCTGTCTACAGTATTACCTTCTGTATTTGATGAAGTCACTAGTTGGTGCAAAGTCAACAAAAGAAACACGCAGGTGTTGCGTCCCTCGTCTAATATTCATCTACTTATCGCTTTTGTAAAACGTAAATGTATAATACTTTTCAGTTGGTTAATATTTGATCACAAACATCCATGTTTAATTATTGCAGTCTCATTTTTTCTTAAATATTCTTCCACAAAGTAGCTTTTTTTACTTCAAAACTTTATTCAGGTTTCATTAGAGGCATCCTACTACCCAGTTTTTTGAAGGTTGAAGCCGTATATTAAGGAGTTGGATTTTCGGAGTACAGTAGTAGTAGTTGGAAGCTGTTTCATGCGAGTTTTTAAAAAAATTTCTTGTAAGGCTTCAGTGAGAACATCTTATTAGTCTTTGGAGAAAGTTCCGTGTACTAAGTTGGGAATTAGCTTAAGCTCTTCACCTTCATTGCCACAAAAATCCCGATCATTGCATTCATAGGCATTCGCCTGAATCTTATTTAACAAGTAGAACAATGCTGCTTAATGAGGTGCAGGCCCGTGGTACCAAACTATAAACGTGAAGATCTACCAGTGGTGGGGAGACATGTGCAGTACCTTTTTATTTTAATAATACATGTCCCACCAAGGGCTTTTATCATAATGTAAATTGATTTTTATAGGGTAGCCAGTGGAAAGAGTTTAGAAGTGGTGGTGGTGCAGTGACATTGGTGAGGTCCACTAGTGGATGTAGGTCAGAGGTTTAGCAAGGGAGTTGTAGAAACATCCTCTGTTGGTCAGTATAGTAGTGGAGTCAGTGGATGTAGTAATGTATCAATTGTAGCAGTCACATGGTGGATGGGGTCCACTAGCGAGAGAAAATCAGGTCTGTGAAGTGGGTCAGATTTGGCTATAGAGTTGTTGAAACTTATTCTCTATTAAGATGCCATGGTATTGCTGTATCAGTTAAGTATTCTAACAAAAGCATATAATACTTCAGAGTTGACGAATAAGACGGGCAACACCTGGCGATTTTTAATTCTCATTAAAGGTATGCAGTTACACATTGTACTGTAAGTTTCATAAGGTACAGTTTTTAAAATTACAAATTCCGGTGAGTCGTGAGAAATGCAGTTTTTAATAAGCAGCAGCAGAAAAGCTCACATACATTGATCCTGGATTGCTTCCCAGTAATATTGTAAAGCATAAAATAATTAAAACTTTTACACATTTCTTAAAACCAGAAACTTAGCAATGTGTAAAAAAAATAATTTATGTAAAATATGTGCAGAAGCAAGAGGAACGCGAATGCTCCCAGCCAAGCGAGCCAACACTGCAACTTTGCACTGAACGGGAGGCGTATCTAACTCCGCACATCTTAAGAGTGTAAGTGCTTATTTAAGCTTTTGCAATAATTATATAAACGTTCACATAATTATTTACTGTTACATTAATTATTTAAACTTTTACAATAATTTTATTCAGTAAGTTATGTAGAAATAAATCTTGGATAATCAGTAGTAAAGTGTGATTAATCAGGTTTGTTCTCTAGGAAGAAACTTGCCGTCCAGCCTGACCTGTGAGTGCCCAAACGTGCTTGATCACGTGACCTGACAATTTGAAGCCTCATCTGACATGATCTTACCCAGAAGGTCCGGCTGCTCCTTAGCGATTTGGTCACGTATCATTTCGCAGAATTGCAATCGGCGATCTGGGTCTTCCTCCAAAAGGCCATGCACCAGTCGTGGGAGGTATGGTTTTTATTTCACCTTACGCATTAGGTGTCGCAAGGATGTTCTTGGTATGGATAGTTCCATTGAAGCGTGTCTTGTGGACTTTTTTGGACTTTACAAATGTCAAAAGCCATTCTAGTCTCATTTTCTTCAGTCATAGAAGTCTTAAGGCGACCAGATTTCGGTAAATTAACCACCGAACGTGTGCTTTCAGATATATTCCTTGTGATAAATTGCCTGGGGTGAAGGTGGGAGGGTTAAAGGCTCCTTGCCATGATGTGCGCACCTGCTCCGCATTTTCACACTTCAATACTGCTTTAGTATCCACTTTTTGTTCTTGATTTAAATTGTTTGCCATTGGGCACAGTGTCTTAAAAATTAAAAAAAAAATGAAAAAATCGAAACTGAAATTGGAAATTGCTTAACATTTCTAAAACGTAAATAAGGGATATGGAGTACTGGTTTGGAATAATGTTTTGGAATTATGGTTTGGATAAATTAAGTAGAGAACGTGAACAAGTAGTGAAACAATTGTAAGTGCTTTTGACCCACCCTGTACATCTATAAATGGGCTGGTTAGTCAAGTTAGTCTACTGAATTTAATCACAGTAGCAAATAACGAGCAAGTCTCTGGGCACAAAATTACGTTAATTCTAGTGTTTTAACTGCAATCTAAGGACACAAGAGAGCATCAGCAATTACATTACAACGACCACTGATATGATTTATACTAATTATGGCTGGCTTCTGAGAGCCTACTTCATGATCCTAGCATTTTTAGACTTCATAGTAGTATTTATATAGATAAGAGGATTGTGGTCTGAGAATAGTAATTTTAAATTGAGAGGTGCCCAAATACACATCAAAATTCTCTAACGACACTACTAGAGCTAATGTCTTTCTCAAACGTGGCATAGTAACTCGTATGTGTTAAGTAAAAGGACTCAAATGCAACTGTGACATTTTATTAGGGCCGCGTGGCCTGGTGGCTAAAGCTCCCGCTTCACACACGGAGGGCCCGGGTTCGATTCCCGGGGGGTGGAAACATTTCGACACGTTTCCTTACACTGTTGTTCCTGTTCACCTAGCAGCAAATAGGTACCTGGGTGTTAGTCGACTGGTGTGGGTCGCATCCTGGGGATAAGTTAGTCCTCGATGACGCACTGACTTTCTTTTGGGTTTTCCGGGTGGCTAACCCTCCGGGGTTAAAAATCGAAACGAATCTTACTTAACGTTTCGCTTTCCAGGAGCATTGTCAAGCCGTTACAAACAATACATGGAAACACAGGGTATACATAGGCTTAGTGAGGTGTAGTAACAAGTAGTAGTAATAGTTATAAGTGTGGTGGAAAAGGCAAACTGGTACATGAAAAAAGGATGGTTACAAAAGCCCCGTGGCTAGGGTAGCTATAAAAACATAGGTTGGGCAAATGTATTTGGATTGCTAGAAGACATTTTCGTCAGGGCGAGCCCCTGTAAACTGCCAACCCCATTTGTAAGTACACTCCACCACTGAATTTTTTTTTATATTTTATTTAAAACTCCATATTACAACATAATAAATATATATAAAAAAAAACCCATCCTGTGTTAAACAGGTATACAAAACAGAACACGAACATAATACACCATATAAAGTACGCGGCATTTACAAAGCCACTATTTACACCTTGAGCCACCTAGTATGTCCCTAAATCATACTTAATGATACATCATATAAGAACATAGTACAATACTTATAGCGTTGACAAATTTTAAATTTAAAACATTAATACATAAATAATTTCAATACCATCAAACATGTATGGTTATAACTGGACTACATTCATCCTTTGCTTCATATTTCTTGCATTATGAGACACGAGGTTCAATGACCCTGCTAACCCAACCCTCCTACAACACATTGGTCCGTTTTTATACAATTCACCACTAAACGTCTATCATCCTGACCTTCCTAAATGCCGTCACATTGGTCCGTTTTTATACAATTCACCACTAAACGTCTTATCATCCTGACCTTCCTAAATGCCGTACACGCGTTTTCCTGACCATAACAGTGGCGCTAACAGCGTACCTTACACGTTACATAATAATGACGATATTCATATCAAAGCTATCAGCATAGTGTCGCATAGCACCGGAAAACTAACCTTTACGTCTTACGGTACAAAACTACTATACCTCGTGCTTGGACACGCACATGACTGTCCCTACCTACACATTACCCACGCCACGCCCTTGTGCGTGGAATCCGTACCCATGCTGCACGCCATGCGCACCAAACGCGCTTCGTGTATCTACAGCTAGCATACGTCATGATCACCAGGACCAACACCTGATTATCCCTTCTAGGGGAACCAACCTTTGGACCCCCCCCCCTTCCAGAATGCCATACATACGGTTCCCCACACATACTTGGATCGTGCATTCACATGGTTTTCCATAATCATGTGGTAAGAACTTACCCTAATGTGCACACACAATTCAATTTAATTTCCTCCTTAGAGACAGACAGCATACCTCAAGGTACGTGATACAATCAATCACATAAGCGACTGTTATATAACAATTCATGAAAACACACCTGCTTAAAAGAGCACTATTATACGCTCACCCACAACCGGGTTTGTGTTGATCCAAACTCAACACATGAAATGTTCCCAGTCACCAAGACATACACCTCCCTCACACCTTACACCAACACCTTTACTTATCAAAAGCATCACTCACGCCCACGCATCCCTCAAGAACCCAGCTCATTTTACCCCTTAGATGCAAACGCCAATAAGTCCTGACGGGGAAGCTAGGATATCCCTCCGAAAAGGTTAAATGCCATCTGTTCCCAGTGATGTCCTTATTCCTCCGTTGCGTCCCATAAAATATCGTTGCCAGTGTCCTGATTCTCTCCCTTACTGACACATGTCTGAAAACCCATGACGTATACACAGTCCGTGACTAGATATCCCATTGCGTTCTGCACCGGCACCCCCCCCCCCCCACATCTAAGCTTAACGCCCTTAAAACGCTAATCTCACCTCCACCCACCATACGTAAAACCCTACTAAACCACTCCCTCACTGGTTCCAACCTCGTACCAAAAAATACCGAACGAAAGTGTCAATGTCCCCACACATACACTCCCCTCCCTCCTGCACACGCCTATTTGCCAACACTTCTCCAGAGGAAAATATATTGTGGAGGAATTTAAACATTACCTGCCTTACCATTGCCTTCAGTCGTAACTCTTTTAAGCGGCCCCATATATCACTCCACGCATACATCGGATATATACCTTCCACCTTAGCAACGACCTCCCTACCACCCACCTGAGCCAGTCTTCCTATCTTGACCCTGCGTGGGTCCCGTGCATAAATTAATAACCTCAACATTCCCTCAAACATCTGGACATCTCTACCCCTCGCCCAACGCTCCAAATCCCTTCGAACCCATGCCAAACCTGTGCCTTCAGCCCTACCCTCCCTCAAATAACTGTTTTAACATACATGCCCAACATCCTCTGATGCAGCGCCAATAACCCCAGCCCTCCCCGGCATTCCGGCAGACGCACATCTCGATAACCAGTCACATCCCGAACCCCAAATATATCGATGTACACGCTTCAACAGACACTTCTCATCGCACGTATTCAAGGGATACATACCTACCACATGCCACAGCTTACCATACAAAAGCACACTCACCACAATAGCACGCTGGTGTAACGTCAGACCTGTAAGCAATCCCGCCAATCTACCCAGAACTCTATCCACAGCTTTTCGAATTCACCTCCCTCTCCTCCTGAAGGTTTCCCATATGAACAAATCCACACACCTTAATTTGACGCACCAGGGGCCAGCCGTCTTCCTGTTCTAGAGCCCCACCCACGCTGTCCACCCTCATAAGCATAGACTTTCCCTATTAATCGTCATTCCTGTTGCCCTTCCGAAACGCTCCACTAATTCACCCACCTTTCGTAAATCCTTTTAAACCCTTTTGAATTGAACCGTGGTACATCCACATTAATCCACTATCCCTGGTTCCACAGCCCCTTCATCTCTCTTCACTTCCTCCCTTACACTCCATCGCACAGCCCTATAGAACGGATCCTGGATCAACGCAAAGAAGCTGAGACACGGGGTACCCTTGCCTCGAGCCCCTTTCCATCCTGAATGAATGAATGAGGACTCGCAGGTAAGGACCCACTAGGGGGAGGGGCAAGTGGGACAGAAGAATGAGGGGAGAGAAAATTTAGACGAGAAAGTTCGGGAAATAACCCAACTGTAATCAAAGGAAGCATAATGTAACTGGATTGAGGGTAAACACGCAGACTGGGCACGCAACAATTAAATTTGGACTAGGAAAGATGGCGCAATCGTCATCGCAAATTATTCAGATTAACAAGGGACCCGCTCAACGACAATAGCGCTAAAAATAAATATTGCAAGATATGACATAACTTAGTGTATCGGGAGGAAATGGGTCATAAAGAGAGAGATTTTACATTGTTATAAGGCGCTGACAGTGTCTCCTAATAGAAGTCCAATTTGTCATGATATCCAAGTCTGTCAAGTTGTTTTTCATTAGTGTCTTCCAGTACTCGTTCAGAGTGGTGTGTTGGCCGTGAGTGAAGAGATTCGCTGTGGCGAAATCGTCCACCTACTTCCCAAAACCCCCGTAATGTCGATTCTGGATACGTTGGAATTTTAAAGGTTTTTTTGCAGTTAAGTCAAAGCAAGTGGAACATAAGTAAAAGGTCGAATGATGGTTTTATAGAGGTGTAATTTTTCTTAGATGCATTCCTTTTAGCTTATAAGCTAAGAGTGCAGTCTTAGCCTGCAATTTTTGCATGATGTTTGGTTTGAAGTTAAGCTATTGTCTAGGTAACACCAAGGTATGTGGAAGAGGTGCGTGGGTAGGTGTGCGGGAGGTGCTTGTTTTGAGTTCGACAGGAATTGGACTTCTCGCCTTCTGTGAAAGTACTTATCTTTGATTTGTTAGTAAGACACATATGCACAGTTAGGTATTTTATTATGAAACTTTGTCTACACAGTGGCTTCTTCAGTCAAGTACAGAAAAGTTGATGGAAGAGAGATTACTTGAAGACGTGTAATCAGTCCATCACCTTAAGTTTTGGGTGGTCAGTCCCTCGTTGTGAGAGAGCATTGTTCATAGTATGAAACAAGTGGCTAGTCTGCTCTTGGGCTATAAAAAGCTCCATCTGTCATTCATCTCCATATTGTTTTCATACTATGGAACAATGCTCTTCTAGACTGAGGGTGACCACCTCAAAATTTAAGGGTGATGGTTGTTACATCGTCTTCAAGTATCTTCTGTTCCATCAATTTTCTTACTTGACTGAATTTCTACTGTGTAGGCGAAACGTTTCATAATAAAGATCTAACTGTTGCGTATGTGTCTTACCTAACACCTGTCGGTATTTTTTTTCCATTTTTATGTTCTATCTTTGATTTGTTCGGTTGGTTTTAATTCTCCATTGTAATTCTCTTGCAGTAATCCTGTCGACCTCACGTTTTCTGCGTGCTAGAATCTAATGTTTTCATGTGTTGTGAGTTGTGTAATGTCATCTTCATAGGATAGAATAAGTGTATTTGGGTAGTGGTTCTGATAAATCATTTGTGTAAAGAATATATAGTGTAGGAGATCGGACAGATCCCTGAGGAACACCTGCATGTAAGGCGAAATAGTCAGAACATTGATTACTAAATCGTATACGCATCGTGCGGCCATCTAAAAAGTTACATAATTTTATATTTATTGTGAAATCAAATGAGGTGCAGAGTTTATATTTTAATCCATCATGCCAAACAGTGTCAAAAGCTTTTTCTACGTGTTTAGCAACAAGAGCAGTGGTACAGTTTTGGGCCTTGTTTATGCGTATATAATTCAGGATAATGTTCAGAACGTCTTGTGTAGGTCGATGTTGTCTGAAACCAAATTGTCGTTCAGTAAGTTTTGTCTCGAGGTGATTCCTTAGTCACATATTTATAAGTCTTTCAAAGGTCTTGCC